AATATATTTACGACTTGACCAATACAGCCGAAGAACACGCCAACTATGAAAACTGAGACCACAAGAAGGTTTTTCATCCTGATAACATTTCTACCATTATGATGCCGAATCCATAAATATGACAGTTGGCGTAAATTTTTGACCTAACAAAACCTCTGAAGTGATGTAAGGTATGGCCCGTAAATTAAAAAATCATTCGCAAATTAAATAAACTCCACATACGATAATACCACTGACCCAATACTTATGATCCAAGCATGCCCATGACAAATATTATTGGTCAGATTTGATCACGTGTTTAATGCAGTTTCGAATATTTCGGATTGAGTTCGGATTTTGGGCAATTACAGATTTCATCGGAAATTTCGGAAATTTAATTGTTGGGCGAAACTAATATCTCCCATATTTCGGATTCGGATTGGGCGAAATATTTAAGTTTCGTCCGAACATTACTTTGGACCTTCGGTAAGCCTTTGACTTTCGGTTTTGTATTAAACTTTAATTGAGGTTCATAATTTAGGAAATTATTTTATGTGCTACTAGATTTTTTCAAATTAGCACGTGATCTGTGCCTCTAAACTTCGAGTCGGGATTTACCAGGTTCATTGTCGGCTTTGTTGAGATTAATTATTTGTGTAGGTATAGTTGGCCAGTTAATATTGATTCTACTTTGCCGTATCGGTATCCCTAGCGTAGAATTTGATGATTGTCCTACGAAAGATTGCAGGCTAGGATTGTTTTTAAATTTAACGAACGCCGCTTATAATATTCAGGGCCTTTATTGAAGAACATTTTAAAATTGAATAGTATCCGTGGGTACTGTGTGTATTATATTTGGGGATATATTTATTAGAAGTAGAAATCAATATAAATGCACCCGGATCTTATTCAAGAAAACAAGCCGGTGGGGACGATGAGTAATACCCAAATCTTAATTACGAGGCCCACAGTAATTGTGATATTGTAAAATGCAAATTTATTGGTATATTTTGAGGTACCATAAAGTCTATCAAAACGCGATAGCACTTTGTCAAGATATAGAATTTTATTAGGAATTATATAAACAATAATGCTATTGACCGTTTGTTAACCATTATTCGGCATTAGACGATATAACGAGTTAATGCAATTAGTCCGGATTATTTTAATGTATTAACTATCATCTTGTACATAAGATTTTGAACCGTTAAATGTCGGGTGACTACAAAATCTAAGATAAATGCTGGATAAATACTAATTATTACCCACTATCACGGGGAATAATGAAATATTTCTCTGGATTTGTCTAGTTCAAATAGAGCTGAAGAGAAAATTCAGGGGAAATAAAAACCATTTAGATATTACGTATTTTTGTGGCAGTAGGGCTTGGGAATGATATCGCTCACTTCGTTTTTATAAAAACAAACCCGGATAAATAATTACGGGTAAACCTTTTTATGTATGTAAACCACAAATAATGTGCATTGATATAAGGAACAAATAGAAATAAATCTTATCATAGATTTTATTATAGTGAACGAAATATTAACGTTTTGATGCAATCATACAATTCTTATGCTTATGGTCGAATACATACGCCAATGAAAGAATTGGTTTATTGTAATTAACGTGATCGGATTCTTTACATATATATATCGACATGTATTGTACGTGTGCTCTTGTTAAATTTCACTTTATTGTTATCTGCCGATTTTGGCAAAACCTAAAGAATCGCAGTGTAAGACTTATAAAATACAAATGAGATGATTCTCGAGAATGAGTACGTACGTACAAAGAATAAATTATTAAGCCGATAACGATAAGATTGAAATAGAATATTGTCTAATTATTTATATATTTTTAATAAGGAGCTAAAATAATTATAAAAGATACGTGTATATATATGAGTGAATGCAATTAGTCAACGCATTTAGTCATGCCACCTCTCACTAAATGCTATATTTCTCTCCCCTAATTTTAATTTTACATCACACAATTTTATTTATTCAGAGTATCTCCCGTTTTAACCTCGGAGCCATCCGCACCACTACCAGTATTCGACTGGGAAGACTTATAAATATTTGACATAGGCTCATCCCAAGCTCTGTTTCTAAATTCCAAGCTTGACTCTTCCAACCGTTTAGCAGATTCATAGGAAGCACCGGGTCGAATCGTAGTTCTTGGCGATTGTGTCAAAGTGGGTAATATTCTTTGACGACGTCGTCTATACAAACAACTACATAATATACACAATCCTCCTATTACGATTCCGACTATTATAGCTATAACGACAGCTGATGGTTGAGCTGTTGATGTTGTTGCTGTTGGTGTTTCGGTTGCATTTGCAGATGCCGTGGAAGTTGAAGTTGGTGTAGGCGATGTGTCTGTTATTTCTTGAGGATTTGGAGAGGGAAATGCGTATGCTAGGGAAGTAAATATGATAAAGTATATCGATAATATTGAAACAAATATCCTAAATTTTGACATTTTTATGATATTTTGGTTTAAAACTTAGAATGTTATGTTTTTTCGTCACTTTGAAATTAATGTCATCGACAACTGCGTACTCTTGTCACTGCCTAACAATTCTGCATGAGAAAAGAATCATGAAGATTGATGAGTCTGTTGTACATACGTACGTACGTAAGTGAGTGGCTGTGTCATTTATTCAATCATATGTTCCTGTCGAAATTCTTGATTAAAATGACTGTTATTATCTTTATGGGGCGAAGAATGCATAGCCATTTTTTTTTACACCGCCACATTTACTTATATTAGCTTGTTTGATTTTGGATTTAAGGTGTTACGCATTGACTTCATCCGATAGAACTACGCACGTACAATGCGCGAATTAATGCCAATTAGGAAGAACAGAATAATATCAATATATATTTAGAAAAAATGTTATAATCGTTATGTACTTACGTATGCATTCAAATAATAATATTAGAATTGCCACCTCCAGGAGTCGCTACTTCAATACCTGACTAAAATTAAGCCCTGAAATTTGATCTTCATGAATTAAGAGTAATTCTGGTCAGTTGCAAGTTCAATCGACTAAAGTAACAACTCCGGACAGGTGGTAATTCCAGTCATGAGAACCAATAATCTATGTCACGCATAATTTCTCCATGTTATTTTAGAAATCTACAGTACGTACGTACGTATTTATCGTACTATCACTATTGATATATATAAAACTTCAATCTTTAGCGTAGTCACGTTATTCTATGGTAAGTTGTAGGCTTTAAAGATATAACAATATATAGTTTAGAGTTGTAAAAATTATATGTAGTTCTAGACGTTTATCTTCGTAAAATTATAAATATTGACTATTTTCCAACAAAATATGTTTTTGCTAGGCACATGACAATGACTTCTATCCGATGTTCAACCTAAAAAAAAAAAAAAAATCAAAAGTTATTCCAATAATTCAGTCAACTAATTCGATAACCTTGAATTTATCCGATTACAAACGAGAATTCTGAATCTTCGTCACATGTTTTTTCTTATTCATGCTTTTATTCTGTAAAGATTATCATACATAGGCTTTCACATGCTATATACCATATTTAACAGAAAAGTTTGTCTGCTTTATATATATAGATAATTAAACTGTAATACGTATACACATGTGGTGAGCAGAACACACAATATACTGTAAAATGGGATCTTTGCTAGGAAAATAACCCTCTGAGGCTATATTGATAGAAATTAAATATGCGGCTATCTAGTTATCTAATTCGAATGGTCTTTTTTTTATATTTTTGTAGAGCTCATTTAGCTCCACCAAATAAAAAAAGTTCATTCAAATTGGATAACTAGATGGTTGGCAAATTTTAATTTTTATTCACAAAATCAGGACACGTCATGCATTAAGCAAATTCTTTAAATAAAATTTTTTAAAATTCTAAAGATAACGAGAACTTTGTTTAAGTTTGATAAATTCTATAAATTGTAAATTTATTTAAAAGAATTCTTTTTTTTAAAAAAAAAAAATATTAATAATTACAATATTCTGAAAATAAATACCTTCAATTTATCAAATTAGATAAAAATTCCAATACATTATATTCACAAAATTCAGCCAAACTATCCGAATCAATTTTGTAGTATTAAAATTACAATTACTGTATATTATTTTTAATCGCTAGCAAAATGTTTTAAATTTAAAACGCTAAGCTAGTTTAACTAAAGTTTATATTTAATAATTAAAATAAAATTAGATCCAAATCTAAATAGATTTTTAACCAAAATCAGGCTTAATATATATTTTTAAACTGTTTTCTAAACACAATTATCTAAAATTTAAAAATATATAGAATTTTTGAGTGAAATAAAAAATTAATAATAATATATATGATATAATTTTTTATAAAATATATATATATTTAAAACTATTCTATTAGATAATTTCATTTTATCCATATTAATTTAGTGTGATAAGAAAGCTAGATTTTTCTTAATTTGTTTATTATGCTTAATTTCTGCATTTTATTTTAGTTGTTATTCTTTCAGTATTTATATTTTTGTAGCTTCCTATAGTTGATTGATAGCTAAAAATATAGTCGCGAAACTTTAATCTTAAGGCAAGCCATCGAAGAAGCCATCGTACAGTAGAAAAAAATGATCCTAGGTGAAGTTGTAAATCAAGGCTCGATTTATCGATGGTTAAAATTGCACCCAATATGCACGTTTATGAGAAAACAATCATCTAATCAGAGTTGACAATAGAGTCAATGGAGTTCAATGGTTACGCAAATGGTGTTCAAAAAATTAGTATCCGTTGGCCCCATTGGCTCCATTGGCTTTATTCGCATCCATTGGACTCTATTGCCAACCCTGCGTAAATATAGCGATGGCATTTAACGATCATCGAGTTTATGCAATTCACAAAGCAAAATTAATATAGCACAATGGTCCCAACAACCTAAATGACAGTCTTTAGAGTTTAGACAATTCAAATTTAATGTAGTATTTAGACCTATAACCACTAGACAGCCTATTCTAAAATCATGTATTTAAAGAGCATCTTTTTTCTTTTTAAAAGCAGTTCCTACTCTCTACAAAAAAAAAAACAACAATAATCAATAAAAGCTAAATAAAGGTTAAATAAAATTTCTCTAATTTCGTGCATTAAATCCTTCCTTTTAAAAAATCTATCCTCGATTTCGTCATCTTTATTTATATAAATTATTATAATATTATTATCTAATTGTTTAAATAAGTTATTCGAATATTTACTAATGACTAATTGTAGATGCGTTATTTAAGTTTATTGCATATATTGAATCATCATTATTAGTGGGTTAAACTTAAAGATCACAAGTGCTATTTTTTAATCTAAACTATATCAAATAATATTTCTATTTAAAATATCAATTTTGAACAATAATTAAAAAAATTTCTGTTACAAATACAAAATAATCATATATAACAGATTTGACAAAACTTAACACAGAGTTGCAAGATTATACTATTAATATAATTTACTAGTATTATACACAGCTGGCCAGATATTATACGTACCAATAATTAATAATCTAAACTACCAAAATTTAATATATATTTGTATATGCATTTCCAAGAATTTTGATTGGTTGGGTCTAATACAAAATACCCGTCAAAAAACTTACAAAAGACCCGGGTATATTATACAGCAGTGGTCTGTGTTGCAAGAAAGAGAAATTTCATTTATATATACATACTTCGCATTCATGATACAGTCTAAAAATTTTAAAAAACCTATATTTAATTAATATAGATCTCGTGTTTTGCACCGGGTATTTTGCAAGGGGGATATTGAAAAAGTGGGGATACTTTGGTCAGTGCACTACGGTATTTATTTGACATAAACAACTATGCCAACTATACTACATATTATTAGCTGATATACTGTAAGTATAAATATATAAACATGCCAATTCTCTAATATGCTATAGAACACTATATTCAGTACTCTAAAATAGTATCCTCTTCCAGATTAAGACCCGGGTATATTTCAATACACCACATAAAATGAGCTAGGATGAATTAGGCTTGTAAGACTAGTACTGTAATGTACAAACCTCTGCATAAGGATTTGTTCAAAATACCTCTTGGATTGTGCTCTTCTTTTTACACAGTACCCTCTTATTACAAATCAAGTTAAATGTCATGTTTTTGATATATGCCCTTGGTATTAAATGCAGTGCTTTTATGGTAATAATAAATGCAATTAATCAAATTTTGTATTTATAAAAATTTAATATACTCGCTACTACATATTATTATTATTATACTGTATTATGCTATATTGTACAATCAAGGTTGTAAAATTAACGTAATTTTCTGGTAAGTTACTGGTAGGTTACTGGTAAGTCACTGGAAAATTACGATAAGTTATTAATTTTATGGTAACTTACTGGTTACTACTACTAATCAAAGACATAATGTGGCAGATAAAAATGTAATTTGTATAATATAAAATAGGTAAGCCATCGAAATTACAAAATTTTGAGCGTTTTTTAGGGTTAGAGGCCAGCTTTAGGGTAGAATTTCTAATAAACAAATATAAGTAGGATTTATGAGGTTAAGTAGAAACCCCAAATTTCATTTTAATCCGATTTCATTATGGTTTGCGATAAATAATTATTTTATTACAGTATATGAATAATTTTTTTATAATAAAGATTTTGATTTTAGAATTTTTTAGTTGGATTTGAACCAATAAATTTATTATATAAATACAATTCATCCTATCAAAACCGATAGCCGTCAAAAGTGATAAAAAGATCAACCCACCATGTTTGTTTTTGACATAATAATTAGACCTTTAAACATGATAACCTTTTTAAACCTTACAAAATCTGTCTACCATGCATATCAGTTTTGACAAGGTAGGCTATAATAAAATGGAACATGTTCACCATGTTCTATCCTACTTAATACTTTGATTACATCGACTAAATGTGATCAGGCTTTGTCATCTTAATATAAAGAAATGAATGTCTAATTTAAAATATGAAATCATCGGCTTTTTGGTTATGAAATATTTCTCAATCTAAAAAAAATGAATACAGTAAATAAAATAAAAAAAATAATATTAAGAAAATTTTAATTTATGATTTAATCAAAACAGTCTTGATATATTTGTCTAAATCACGTTCTTTGCTTTCTAAACACACGACAAACAATCCAAATGCAAGCATTTAAAAAAAATAAATTTAAATAACTGCACCTTTTTGGTGAGAATTTTCCGTGAAAAATTATTCCACTAATAGTTCGGCTTGTCTACTCTACATATTTTCATAAATGATTATTTCAACATTTTAGTCATATAGGGTCCTAAATAGAAAATATATGTACGCATATATAATTTTAGTAATAACATCAATTCAGCCATTTCTCCAGATCAATACCGTTCCACTCACCTTCTAATCGATATCCCAATTTCTCATAATACCCTCTAACTCCAACACCACTAATAACAGCAATTTTTACACTTCCATGTTCTTCCAAAGCAATTCGTTCCGCCTCTTCCATCAGCAAAGTTCCATACCCTTGATGCTGAAACTTCATAGGATCTCTACTATGCATTGGTACTACGCTTCCATAAACATGCAATTCTCTTATGATTGAAGTTGGATGTTCAATAAGTTCGGGTCGAAACGCACTATGTGGAGAATTAGTGGTGCATTTTCGAAGTCGTAATAAACCTATTAGAATATCTTGTTTTGGATCTTCGTAAGATAAAAATGTTTCCCAACCACCGTTTGCTACGTAATCGCGTCTTATTAATTCAACCTTTTTAATGTTGAAATTAAATTAATAATAGTCTTAGATTTCAAAAATATTAAAAAAATTAATTAGTATGTTAAATAACCTCTTCCGGTTTAACTTTATTATGAATATCTTGAATTCCAACTTCTCGGGTTCTGACATCCCTACATTCGATACCTAAATCTTTCATTCTATTTAACGCTAACTCACGTAAATTACCATGCTCGACTCCTGAAGTAACTAGGGGCATTGGAATATCTCTTTTCAATTATGTTCCATAGATTGGTAAGTCACTATCAGATCTACATAAACTGCATGGTAATATATCTTAAACTCACCTTTGTACTCTGTAAATTCTAGTCCAAGGAGGAACAAGGGCTAGAATTCTTGCAATCAGATCAACCAACGCGTTAGGCGTATAATTTTTATATCGACCTGTTCTCCATAATTCGTAAAGTCCTATAGAATCGAAAAAAAGTTTTTAAATTTAAGATAAATTTATTAATCATCGCGAATGAAGCTGGAAAGGCTGAAGTTGGAAATTAGCCTCATCTCAATATGAGTTTCTAAAATTTTTTAGAATACATTTTTGTTTCTTTTATAGTTAGACTAGTCAGTTAGGTTTAGTTAGGATTTAGAGTTAATGATGAAAGAATACATATAGATTTAGTAGGGTTCATATTGTTAAATAGAGACCCTGATCTACAGCTTCAACCGTTTCCATCTTCAGCGCGACATTAATTACATGTAATAAAGATTTCTTTATTACCAGTTCCACGAATAACCAAAGTTGGATAAATTTTCAGTCCATCGGTTCGAAAAGCAGGGTTTTCAAAATATTCCTATATAATAAGTATATAAACAATTAGCCATTTTTATATATAAAATGGGAATCATATAGTAAAATATAATTCAAACGTACCTTAAACTGATCTAAATCTCTTTCCATACCAACATTAGGCAAATCCGGCATCATATGAGAAACAACCTTAAATCCTGTATCTTTTGCTAATTGAAAAGTTTCAGTTACGGCTTTAACCGTATGACCACGATTTGTATCTCTTGCTACATCTTCGTATACACTTTGAACGCCTATTTCTAAGCGAGTACATCCATACTGTAACATTTGACTTTTTAAGTAAAAGGAATAAACATGAGTTGAGAACATAGATAATTGTAATATTGGTTAGATATCATGTAAAATCATTAATACCTCAAATGTGGCTTCAAACAGTAATCGGGACGTGTTTCAATAGTAATTCCAATACATTTTGTCATACTTTGTTCCGAATATCTATAATAGGATAATTTTCTTGTTTATATTTAGTTTATATTTTTAGAATAAATGACATGCTTTATACCTTACAGCTTCATCAACATCATTAGTTGTATGACCAGATAAAGCATTATGTAAATTGGCAATAAACCAATTTCTATAATCTTCAGGCAGTGACATAAATGTACCACCCATAATAATATATTCAACCTTGTTGGTATTAAAAATATATATATAGCGTCTTAATGTTATATAGCACAAATAATAATCAAATTAAATAACAATTTGTTGATAAATACTTTATCAACACTGTGACCTAAGCTTTTCAATTGATCAACACGGCCTCTGGCTTGTTCTAGAGGGTCATATCTTGCTCTAATAGCTCTCATACTCGTTGGTTCATAACCAGTATATGATTGTGTTGAATATTCAAAATCTGAATCTGGACCACCTGGACAATATCTACATATTTTTACCACGAAGGGATATTAAAAAATTGAAATATGAAGTTCGCCGATATGATTACAAATTTGCTTACACACAAACATTTCCTGTAACTGCAATATGAGGACATCGATGTGGTTTACACATAACAGCTACAACAGCAATCTATTTATAAAAAGAAAAAATATTAATTCCTTATATTTTTACTCTTTGCTACTTAAGATCCAATTTATTAATACACAGTTTTTGCGCAAAATCTCTATCTTAAAACGTACACCACTAGCAGTCCTAATAGGCTTAGCTTTTAACTTTCCCATCAAAGCATTTTTATACTGTTCAGGTATAGCTGCAATAATGTCAACCAATTTAGGCTGATTTGATAATTTATTAAGTCTCGAATATTTTGTTTTCAATCCATTCAGATTAACATCTTTGTTTTGTTCGTGAGCTGTTATTAATTCATTTACTATTTCAGAACACGCTTTTAACATCAATTCTGCCTATTATTTTTCATTCGGATTCATTTGTGAGGAAAGAATTTGTTTATTGAGAAAATTAACATAATAGGAGAAAGCAAATAGAATAAGAATGGTTTTTGTCAAACCTGCGTTGGACCTAGGTGGATAAAATCAAAAGATCGACATTTAAATAAAAATTTTAGAAGAAAAAAAAAATTAGAGAAACCTACCTTTCTTTTGTTTAGTCGTCATCTTCGGTGAAAGATTTTTTTGATTTTTTGTAAACGTAGTTGAAGTTCACTTATTTTTATTGGGCAAAAAAATGCCGATTTTATTACGTAAATCTACATTACACAAGAATTATAGAGTTTGGAGCCGGTTTTATTTTAATATGTTAAAACCGGTTTTTAAAATTTGGCACACGTGATTCAAGGCCATTTAGTAACTCACCCACAAAAAATTTCCGGAACGTGATTTTTAGCCAATTAGATCGAAGGATTAGGCGTAACGTAAAATCAAAACAATCGAATTAAGCGAAAGATTTTAAGTATAAGCTTTACCTTTAGGGTAGTAATAAGGCCGAGAGAGGACATAGCTTATACAAAAATTTCATAAGGAATTTTTTTTGTTAGAACGCAGAAGGCAGTTTCATAGGAGTTATTGGCGATTTTTTTAAAAAGACGTTACACCTGATCTTTTTATCTAATTGGCTAAATTCACGCTACATTTAGTGATGCAAACGGCTGGCTCGGCTCAGCTCATGGCTAACATTAATCAAGCCGAGCCGATCTATCAGCTCCAAATCCAGAGCCGAACCGTTTATGAGCCGACCAACCTCAAGCCGAGCCGAGCTGTTACTATAAACATAAGGTGCATGAGACTAGAAATGCGTCCAATCAGATATCTATTACTTCGGAGCTCTTACAAAATTAATATAACATCTTTAAACTTTATTCAGATTCAAATAAGTGTAAGATAAATTTTATGGTTTATATTATTTTTAACGAAGCCTTGTGTTCTAAAACCTGTGAATTGCCGGGTGATTATATTGTCAGAAGCTAATCGACCAAAATTACACCTCCAACAAAAGAGAAGAAGAACGATGATCTGGCGTGTCAAAAGAGAACAAGGTCGAATAACAATGCTCAGTAGAGAGATGAGGCACATTTGGCACGGGTAAAAGGCGTCTACTGAGTATCATTAGGTAAGTAATTCGGTACAAAGTTTTAAAGAACGTTTGACTTGGATTTATTTAAGGGCTTTTATTAATGATTTTTGTTGTATGGGCAGATTGTACATACACTTCTTGAATTATTGTAAAGTACTAATAATGACTTGACAAGAGGAATTCAACCTTTTATTTATAATAATTTACAGGGCAAGAAAAAGAACAAGATTGAACATTTTTTCTATCATTTGTTATTGAACTGTCATTAAACTCATGCCATTTAACCTTTTTCTGGTTGAATTTCCAACCTTTCACACAGCCATTTTCATTGAAGCATTCATCAGGATGAAAAAGAAGGTAAAACGAAGGTAAGTTGAATGAAGGTTTTTACACTGTCATTATTCTTACCTATCAATTTATTTATTCATTTATTGGCTTTTCTATTGAACCATGTGCTTTTCTCTTTTACAGCCACACACCTTATCTGACAAGGTAATATTACCTTGACAGCTGTCAACTGAATTGGATAAGTATTGTTTCTTCAATAGGATCATTAGTAGGTTTTGGCTTTTATAAGATTAATGTTTTAATGCTTCATTATAGAGAACCTGGTTTTAATAGGTTTGTTTGTATATAATCATTATAGAGAAATCATAGGTTCTGAAGCATCATAGTGCAACAGCTTTTGCATCATGATTTGTTCATCCAATATACATCATTCTGCATGATTTTTAAATTCTGTAAGCATGTAGTTTTGCCAGTAACAATATATTAATTAATTAATTGTTTACTATTGAACAATGGATATGTGATTTAGATCTATTAGCTATTAGCTTGTGCTCTATGTTTAACTTCAAGGTTTTGAACTAAGCTATTTTTAAAGCTAATGTTTTATTAGTAAACCTAAAGCTAAGCTGATTATCAGCTTGGCTTAGCTATTTGGTTTACAGCTCAGCCCAAGCTATTTATATCACTAGTTACATTTAGATAGCAGATCAAAAATTTCTTTTCATCTTTTGTAATAATAATCAATCAAATTTCAGAATCAGGTGAATGTAATAGTCAAAACAAATATATTTTGTTTTTCTAAGTAAAAAGTTACATGCAAAATTAAAGTTAAGAAAACTGTATTATAATTAGAGTTAGAACTAGGATAATGTAATGTTTACAAGTAAATTTTATAAGAAATATTTTTCATTAAACTATAGAAGGAAGTTTCTTAATTAAAATTTAAAATTATTCTTGTTTTTTTGTTTCAGTTCAATTTTTACATTATATCTAATCCTAAAATTCTATTGGCAATTCCAAAAAGAAAATTTGTATATGTAGATTGCAAAATCAGATACAATCTTTATATAATATAAAATCAAAGGCTTTTTAAAACATTATTGGTAACTCAAAATTTTGTTTAAGAAATTATACCTGAAAAACTTGAAAACTGAACAAAACCAAAGTATTGACAAGCACTTCACCAACCAGGCTGATCTTTTACATTCTAATAAAAAAATTCTAGACAAATTTTACTATATAACATTCTTTATACAATCTTAACTCTAATCTTAACACTAGTCAAAATTTTATATGCTTTTAGCAAAATGTATTACTTGCTAGGAGTTTGTGGGCTATAAAAGTTTGAAGATTTTATATAATTATATGATTTTCAACACCATCCATTTTTAGCATAATCTACAATATATATTAATATATAGAAGAAATATTATATTAACTCAAAACTCAAAAAGAAGAAAAAGCAAAAATCCTAATCACAAATACCAATAAAATAAATTAAAAATTTAGTTAATAGTAATTAAAGCCATACAGAAATAGAAAGATTATTTTTTAATAATCTTTTAGACTCATTTTATATAGCTCTTTAATATAAACAATTATTTTAACTAGTGCAATAGATAGTTTTTAAATACTTTTTGAAATAGTTAAAAGGTATTGAATCTGTAGTTTAAGTAATTAAATATATAATAATATATGCTAAATCTTAATAAAAATATGGTTATCTCTGAATATAATAAACTTTTCTATAATAAACTCTGAATATAACAACTTAAAATTTGAATTATCAAAATAGTTTAGTATAAAAAGTGATATAGATTCTTAAGAAAACATAGTAATTACTTTATAAAAACTAATTTTCTTCAAAAATTTTTAGTTTATTAAAAAAAGAGTTGACTGTATTAGTAAGATTATCAAAAAGAAAAAATTTTAATATTAAATCTAAATGTTTTGTATTACACTTTTACTAAAACGCACCTATGGTGTATTATCACCTATGTTGTATTATCTCAAAATCTGGCTAATTAATCAATGTGAGGTGTTCTAAGTAAAAATGTTCTATGCTCCCAAAAACCCTTTCCAAACCCTAATCCTAACCTTAATATTAGCTTTAACGTGAAAAAATTGATGTGAAAAATTTTATATACAAAACTTATAAAAACTTAGAAAATTTTAAAAAACATAATAAAATATATGATAGGTGCAAAACCACTATAGGTGTGTTTTATAATAATTGTTGTATTATGTCTTTATAATACTCTTTTTAATTAAACATTAAATTGGATATTTATTTTTTTGTTAAAATACAAAAATAATTTTTTATTTAATTAATAAGTTTGCAAAATAGATATTTAGATTTTATATTAGTTTATATTATATATATTATAATTTTAATTGGTTAATTTGCTATTGATCATTATATAGAGGCTAATTATATTATTTCATATAACTTATGAAGATCAAAATTTTAATTTATAAAAATTATTTTCAAAAAATTTTGTGTTCCTAATCCCATTCAGATCAGTTATATATTTTTACTAATAATCAATTCACTGACAGCTTAGTTCAATTCATTAACAAACAGAGATATGTAAATTTTATTTTGATTAAAAGTAAAAATTTTAATTGATTTTGGTAAAAATTTTAATTTATTTCAAAACTATAATACTATTGACAGAGTTTATATTTTTAAACTATTAAAAGCCAATTATTTTATAATTACATGATAAAAATTATATCCAAAAAAATTTTCAAAATTTAAAAAAATTATATATAAAAAAATTTCTTTCAAAAATTTTATATGTTTCTATTGACAAGTTTATTCACTAACAATTAAATTTACTGACAAGTTCATTTTATTGACAGCTTAGTTTATTAACAACTTATTTTACTAATATTTTTTTTTATAAATTATATTAACTTTAATTTAATTTAACCTAATCTTAACTACAATGATCAGAATTATCTTATCTGTAAAATAAGCTGTTAGTAAAATAAACTGTTAATAAAATAAGCTATCAGTAAAGTAATTATTAGTAAAATAAACTTGTTGATAAATTAATTGTTAATAAACTAAGCTGTTGGTGAAGCAGAAACACAAAAATTATTTGATTTAGTATAATCAAATAAAATCACACTAAATCAGGTTGATCTTTAGTATAGGTGGGCATCTATAAAAAATTATAATAAAAATTCCTATACAGATCTCCTTTAGTAAAGGTGGGCAAACTCCGATTAGTTACACATAATTGCATGATACGTACAGTAGCCAACAAAAGTAACGCCCGATTTGCAGATCACCTCACGTGAGCAAATAATGGGGCTGTGTTTGCCC